AGCCGGCCCTCATGTTACAGTTTTCTCTCTTACAAATACACACACGCTCTCATACATTCTCTCTCACACAGTTTTACATACACATTCTCTCACACACACTTACACACTCTCACATACACATTCTCTCTCTCACACACACTTACACACTCACACATACATTCTCTCTCTCTCATATACTCACTCTCGCATACACATCCTCTCTCACACACACTTGCACACTCACATATACATTCTCTCTCACACACTCACTCTCACACACATTCTCTCACATATACTCACTCTCACATACACATCCTCTCTCTCACAAACTTACATACTCACATACACATTCTCTCACACACACTTACACATACACACTCTCTCACACACACGCTTGAATGCAGTCATATTCACACACATGACGGTAGGGAGAGGACCCATTAGGAAGAAGGAGGAATACAGTGGGGGAGGTGGGTTCTGGGAGAGGATAATGGTGGTGAAAATGACTGAAATTCAGCATATACATGTATGAAACTGTTAAATAATTTAAAAATTAAAAATTGACACTTAAAAAATCAATATACTTAATTTTAAGTAAGGCATGTTTCCTCTTTTGCTTCCACCGTCTTACAGAATTCCTTTCACTCACTGGACGAGTCCTCAGTGAGCTCCTACATACTGTGGGGGCAGATGCTAGTCACCTCAGAGAGCTCACCAGCCTGAACAAAGACAAAGGGCAAATGACCAAGCCACCTCAGCGTGGTCACACCATGCAAACCTGAAGCCATGCAGTTTGAATAAAGTACAAAGTGTGAACTCTAATCAATACTGTTACTTTCTGATTAATGATTAACAGGAAGTAAATGACAGATAACCTCATGACCAAAGCCGTCAATCAGCTTTCCCGACAAAACTGGCAACACAATGAGTCAGGAGCCTTGGTCCTCTCCCGCCCGAGACAGCCAAGCCTGGCTGAGGGATCTAGGAATAGCGGTGACCCCATGGTCTGCCTGTGCAAGGCCTGA